TCCTGCTGAGTCACAGAATCGCACTGTGGACTAATTCCCTGTAATGCCCGAGTAGTGCAGGGCTAATCAGTGGGTGCTGTAATTTAAAAATGTCTGCTTTCACATGTCAGCCCCTGCCTCCCACATTGGCACACATACAACAGAAAACACAGACACACTCTCTCCAAGGCATTTGGCTAATTATGGCCTCAGTTTAACTGCATGCCTTTGATTTGATTTATTCTTTCAAGCATGTAAAGACAGTTGATATGTCAACACACATAATTTTACACATATCCAACAAATGCTAATCCAATATCAATTTGCTTATACCTAGTACGTGCTTGAATGGAGTAGGAAGAAGTCAGACTTATCTAGTCCTACCCCATGACATCATCTTACATCATTGGTTTGCAAGCAGTATCTCTACATAAATAATTATCTTCTACACCACACAAGTAATATACTAAAGAATTATTACAAAGTGTTAACATTCATACACCACATCCACAATGTTCCATCTGATTAATCATTAAGGAACAGTTTTGATGAGCTGAGTTGCTGCGTTAGCATTTTATATTAGCACATAGCAATTAGCAAAATTGAAAATAATCATGTCAGCTCTTATTTTGAGTTACATTTTCCTTTGCCTTATCAGTAAGCAGAAATTACGTGAAAACATGGCAGATTTTAGAATTTATTTTCTACAGACTTAATGAATTATTTCCTAATGTGGAGACGTGCTGTTGAAGCCTCCTGTGACCCAGACTTATTGACCAGCACTGGCAGCAGTGCAGAGGTATTAGCTTCTAAAGGTTTGAGCAGAATTGACCATTCAACTAACAGAGATTTTTATTTTTATTTATTTTGCTTGATCATTAGGTTTTGTTGCATTCTCATTTAAATTATTGTAGCTTTAATAAATTATAGTTTAATCCATTTTGGACCCTCCGTCCCCACCCGGGATAGCCCCAAGATAAATTCCTATTGGTCAAATCAATAATTGTTAATTGGGTTGCACCTCCTCTTTAATACATTCTAGTGTTGTACCCGGTACTTTTTACCATACTGACTCTGAGAGACAAGACAGTCCAAGTAACTACAAAACAGTGCTGATTTATTCCATGAACACAGGTAAAATTAACATTACACGCTCAGGCATCTTGCACCTCCAACCTGCACGCAA